TGTCCGGCACTGCAGCACTCAGTGGTGGCGTCACTTCGTTCAGGCCACGATAGTCCACTGTTAGAATCCACTCGCCATTAGACTTTTGCACTGGCCATATGGGACTATTGAAAGGTGAATGAGTCTTGCTGATCACTCCTTGGCTCTCCAGTTGACGAATTAGCTTATGGATGGGAATCAGGGAGTCTCGGTTAGTACGATATTGCCGCCGGTGCACAGTTGTGGTAGCGATTGGCACTTGCTGTTCTTCGACCCTCAGCAACCCCACAACAGAAGGGTCCTCTGAGAGACCAGGCAAGGTAGATAATTGTTTAATGCCCTCTGTCTCTAAGGCAGCTATACCAAAAGCCCACCGGAACCCTTTTGGGTCCTGGCAATATCCTCTTCTAAGATAGTCTATGCCAAGGATACATGGAGCATCCGGGCCAGTCACAATGCGGTGCTTTTCCCACTCATTCCCAGTCAGACTCACTTCAGCCTCCAATACAGTCAACTGCTGAGATCCCCCTGTCACTCCACAAATACAGATAGGCTCTGGTCCTTTATAGCTTGATGGCATTATAGTACATTGTGCACCGGTGTCTACTAAAGCCTTATACTTCTGTGCGCGTGACGTGCCAGGCCATCGAATCCACACAGTCCAATAAACTCGATTGTCCCTTTCCTCCCCCTGGCTGGAGGCAGGGCCCCCCTAATCCTGGTCAGAATCTTCTTCGTTTCTGTGTTTGAAGGACTGTCTGCTGGAAGTTGGAGCAGCAAACTTTTTTCCTGATTGTTTTCTTTTGCAACTCACGTACCCGTGCCTCTAGGGTCGCGGTAGATTTTCCATCCCATTTTCTCATGTCCTCTCCATGGTCTCGTAAGTAAAACCACAGGGTTGCACGGGGTGAGTACCCACCATAACGTCTTCCTTGTGTAGATGAACGCCTACCCCTGATAGCTGAGACACTGCTCTGTACAGGTACAGAGGAGAATAATCTCTCTTCAAGTTGGTGAAACTTTTCAGAAAGTGTTTTCTCCCAGGTGTTCTCTTTCGGTCGTTGGACACTGGTTGGTTCAGGTGGGGAGGAAGATAGATTCTCTTCAAGTTGGTGAACCTTTTCAGAAAGTTTCTCTACAGCTGAGACGCAGGCCTGTAAGGAAGAGGAGAGACTTTCTTCGTACTGCCGGAGTTGTTTAGCCACTTCATCCACTGTGGGTTCCTCATCCTCTTTCCAGGCCATTATTGCCAATGAGCTGGCATATGATGATGGTGCACTCCGTACAAACTTCCGCCACATGGGTCGTGTACACCTGACTTCATCTGGATCTTTGGATGCTTGTCTGAGGTCTGGATCCTCATAAATCACTTCCCGTACGGCTAATTCCCTCAGGTACTGGATTCCCTTCTCCATAGTGGTCCACTTGCCTGGTAGACATAAAAGTTCTTCCTTGAAGGGATACCTTTCCCTCACAGCTGAGAGGAGACGCTTCCAGAGGCTGGTGGATTGTGCTCCATCTGCAATTGCTTTGTCAATGCTGGCATCTCGAGCAAGGGATCCCAGCCGCTTGGCTTCCCTGCCGTCTAATTCCACACAATTGGCTCCAGAGTCCCAGCACCGGAGCAGCCAGGTGACAAGCTGCTCACCTATACAGCGACCAAAATCTTTTCGCACATCTCGTAGCTCGCGTTCGTTTAGGCTTCGGGTAGTTACTGTTGATTTTTCGGCATCCTCATCTTCCTCCTTCTGAATCCTTGATGGCCCAGCGTCGTCGTCATCTTCGTCATCTCTATACCTAGATTTGGCAGAAGCCTTACCTGGATTGGCAGAAGACTCTCTGCGTTCTAAACGACCTGAATCTCTATACCATTTTTTCACCTTCTCTACAGGGGCAGCTTGCACTGCTACTGCTCGTTTCTCTGACTTTGTTATAGGGTCTGCCACAGGGGTTGGAATACCCTCTGCAGGGGCAGCTTGCACTGCTACTGCTCGTTTCTCTGACTTTGTTACAGGGTGTGCCACAGAGGTTGGAATACCCTCTGCAGGGTCAACTTGTACTGCTACAGCTCGTTTTTCTGACCCCGTTACAGGGGTTGGAATACCCTCTGCAGGGTCAACTTGCACTGCTACAGCTCATTTCTCTGACACGGCCACAGGAGCTGGAGCGGCTGCAGGAGCTGGAGCAGCTGCAGGAACTGGGACTGGAGCGGCTGCAGGAGCTGGAACTGGAGCGGCTGCAGGAGCTGGGACTGGAGCGGCTGCAGGAGCTGGAGCTGGAGCGGCTTCAGGAGCTGGAACTGGAGCGGCTGCAGGAGCTGGAGCTGGAGCGGCTGCGGGAGCTGGGACTGGAGCGGCTGCAGGAGCTGGGACTGGAGCGGCTGCAGAGTCCACCGTAGGGGTCACAGTGGCCGTTGGATCTGTCACAGGACTTGGAGTGGCCGCAGGGTCTGTCACTAAGTTGATAGCAGTATCAATGGCAGCTCGATAGGCATGAGCCAGGCCCCAGCACGTTACAATGATTTGTGTTACTTTGGAACTGCCAGAATCATGACACCTTTTTTTCAAGCATTCTGCCAGTTTTTGAGGATTTTGCCATTGTTCAGGGGTGAATTTCCAAAACACTGGGGGTGCCAACTGCTCTAGATGCCTGCCCATATCCACCCATACTCCCTGCCACCCACAACTATACTGCCTCCGAGCAGATCTCCGGATGAGCTTCCTAAGTAATTGTTTAACTTTAAGCAGAATCTGAAGTGCATTCAGGAGGCAGAACAACAAGACTATGGTGGTCTGAGTATCCCAAGAATATTCAATATCTTGGAGAGCTATTGTGACAAGCTCAGGGGATAAGAGGGTGGTGAAGGAGGAAGGCAGAGTGATCCAGGAGGATACAGGGGTGGTGAAGGAGAAAGGGAGAGTAAGCAAGTAAGAAAAAATATCTTCCCCTTTCCCCTCCACAGATTGACTCCCTAATGGAAAAAAACAATAGGTATAATTGCTAATAGTTCCCAAGATACTGTTTCCAAAGTACAGAGTCGACGATGTTACTGAGTACAAATACCAAGTTAGAGTCATGACCAGATATTTCATCGTCTCATAAGCCATTGCTACAACACACAGTACCATAATGATCTGAAACCAGGGCCCGGAGAGGATAAACAACACGACAGAGAGCAAATACGGAAAATAATGTACTCTAATACTCAATTTGGAAAACAGGCGCAGCAGAGTTGAGATTAAAGCAATCAGCATCATGACAAGTGACTATTAAGCAGGTCTAATCCTTACACCAATTTTAGTTTAACACACTCTGGTCAGATCTGCTGTTATCTCAACCTTTCGGGCCCCACGTTGGGCGCCAAAAGGACTGTCGTGGTTTAAACCGGCCGGCAGTTAAACACCACACAGCCGTTCGCTCACCCTCCCCCCTCCCTCTCTGGGACGGGGGAGAGAAATGGAAAGTGAAGTCCGTGAGTTGAGATAAAGACAGTTTAATAAGACAGGAAAATAATAATAACAAAATTATAATAACAATAATAACAATAATAATACAATGGTGATAATAGGGAAATAATAATAATATGTACAAACAAGTGATGCACAATGCAATTGCTCACCACTCGCTGACCGATGCCCAGCCTAACCCCGAGCAGTCCGGCTCCCTCCCCCCGGCTAGCCACCCCTATATATTGTTTAGCATGACGTCAGATGGTATGGAATACCCCTTTGGCTAGTTTGGGTCACCTGTCCTGGGTCTGTCCCCTCCCAGCTCTTACTGCACCCCCAGCCTGCCCGTTGGCAGGACAGAGCAAAAGGCTGAGATGTCCTTGGCTTAGTATAAGCACTGCTCTGCAACAATTAAAGCATCGGGGTGTTATCAGCACTCTTCTCATCCTAAGCCAAAACACAGCATTCCACCAGCTTCTAGGAAGAAAATTAATTCTGTTCTAACTGAAACCTGGACATTACCCCAGAGATCTGTATTAAAGTCCCTTAATTATGTCTCATTTCATCATGCTTTTTACTCAGGATCAGGAGCTACAGAGACCAGAGCTTATCGAAGTCGTTCTCCAGCCTGGAGTTTAAGTCTCTTGTTAAGACATTAGCTGTTTTGGGGATGAGAGACTGGCCTTGCTGAGGGCACTGACATTCATCCTGCTAAAGGATGGGAAAGAGGAAGAAAAGCCAAAAGGAAAAAGGGGGAAAAAGGGGCAGGATTCAGCTTTCCAATAGCACATTATAAAACAGCAGGTAAAGGAGCAGAGAACATTATATGGTGGGTGAAAAATGTGTGAATACCTAGAAACCTGATCTCTATGTTCTCCCCTTTGCCCGGTGACACCAGGAGCTCATTAATAGCTCATTAAAGGGAAAGAGAGGACCTGACTGGAGGTTGGACCCCTTCTCGAATTCCTCTGACCAGAGTTTCTTTCCTGGAACATCCTCTCCTGCCTGTAGTCCTGTCATCCCTGCAGCCAGGCTTGGGAGCATGGCCACGGGTGGATGCAGGACCACCAGCCTCCACAGCACCCCCACAGGGATCTTCGGGGGGTTTATGGCAATAAAACTAGCTCATTCCCTGCTTCTTTCCATCTCACTTTCAGAAAGATGTCCACACCACTTACTGGGAACAGTCCCATCTCTGCATTCCCCTGTGTTGTGCCCAAGCTGCTTGTTTCAGCTGTTTGCTTTAGTCCTCGCTGGCCTTCAGCCACTACCCCCATCCTCTTGCAGAGAAACGAGACAACCCTGTACTCTATTTAGGCTTAAAAGCACCGTACGTTTACTGGTATAGTATGTCAGGACAATTTTCAGGTTTCTCTAAATATACTACTGAATTTCTTGCTGCTGCCTTGGGAAGAGGCCCAGAGGCCTGTTGTTGTTGCAGATGTTGGGACGAAAGCAAAGGCAGCATGTTGAATCCTGGCAAGTGAATGGCTTTAGGTTTAGGCAGTATCCCCAAGCTCCAGCTTGGCAAGCAGCAATTAAGCTATAAATATCCCACTTCCTTTCTACAAGGATGCTCTCCAAAACCACCAGCTCCACCATGGTCCCTGGGGGTGCATGCTACAATGCGTCCAAGGAGCAGCCAGCATCAGCTTCTAGCAGAGCACTGAATGTGGGAGGTTTGTGAAAGGAGAGACCCATCAAAGGTTACAGCCAGCCCTGCACGGAGCAGCCAGCAGAAAACCAACATGGGAACAGTCACTGCAATGTTCTTTAGGGAAAGAAAAAGTGAAGAAGCACCCTCATGATGATATTAAGGTAACGATATACGCTGGCAGGTAAATTACTTTTATATCGTTAAGAACTGGCAGCCTGACACTGCCACATCCTGCATTTTTATTTCCACGATGGATGGGAACTACCACTTCCCAGCAGAAAGGAGGCTCAGTGTTTTTTCCCTGCACTAAGTGAGGGGGAAACCCTCTTTGAGGCTCTTTCATGTGATAAAAAAGAAGGAAAAATGACAAATTGTTACAAGCTGAAATAAAAAAAAATAGTGTTTTGCAGTCAAAGTGACAAAACATATGCACACGTCCCTGCTTGAACCCCGTGGATGGCAGTGCTGGAAACCAAACTTTTTCCTAACACATCTGAGAATTGGACATCACCCTTTTTTCCATTCCCTGACAGCCTCTGACAACAGGACAGGCTTCCGGTTGTATCTTAGTTCTATCTTCTCACCATTTTAATTTTACTTGGCTGATTTTAATTTCAGTGCTCTTATCCTGTTGCAGTCATTTACACTTAGGAAAGAAAGTACTGGCTACAAGGCCCCTAGGACAAGTGGGAAAAACTAAGAAAGGAAGGCAAGATGAGACCTCAGCTGGCCATCAAGTTATCTTCTCGACAAGGCAGCTCAGTACTACCCTGGTCTACCTAATTGGTCCCAGAAGCCCCCAAAGGTGGAGATTTTATACTCTCTTAGCTAGCCTTATCCTTTAAATCCTTAAAAACTTTCCCTCATGGTTAAACTCAAATCTTTCCTGCTGTAATTTAAGCTTATCACTTCTTGTCATCTCAGGAGCTGTCAGAGAGATGTGTTCATTACCTGCATCTTCGCAGATACTGGGTATTTCAAGCCAGTTACCATGTCTCCCCTCAATTTACCCCAAGGAAAACAAGCCCAGTTATTTGCCATGTTTTCTACACCTGCTGCTTTCCTTTGGTTCCTTCCAACTGAGCCACATCTTTCTGGCAGTGAGGTGCCCAAAACCAGAGTCCCTCAGCCAAAGCTTCACAGGGCACACAAATTGCTCCTTGCTAATCTACAACACTTTTGTCTATACATATTAATATCATGCTTGGTATTCCCACTGCCCCCCCCCCCCCCCCCCCCCCCCCGTGAGAAACATTTGCTGATTTGTCAGCATTTTGCTTGCTCTTGGCACAAGGCAAACAACTACATGAGTTGTAAACCTGGCAAGAACCAAACCACTGATCTCTTTTGGCAAGTTTCAACTAAATGCCTATGTTACTGAAACCCACTTACCTCCAAGCCTGTAAGAGAAACGGGCTTTAATTAAAATCATACAAGCCACAACTCTTCAAACTAGATTTTAGTAAAATAAACTCTGCGTGGGTCAAGGTTAAATACCCGTAGATCCCTACTGGTGCTTGCTGTAATAAGAGCAGGACCACTTGCAGATCAAAGGCTGATGTGCTCTACAACAAAGCAGTCTCAGCAGTATATTCGTGAGAATATAGCACTGAGAAAATAAAGTGCTCTCTTTGGTATTTGGAACTGTATTGCTACTTTGATTTTAGGAACTGCATCATGTTTGTTTCTAATGACGCTAAAGTTTAGCCAATGACCACGCTGCCTTAATTCAAGCCCTTTCAGCTTGAATTTACGTAAGGAGAAATGCTTATATGGCAGGGTCTGATCGGGGCAGATACTCAGGTGATACAAGTCAGTCTAGCTTAAATAAAATAAGACCTAGAATTTAATAATATCTGAGGACTAAACCACAATCTAAGAAACACACAAGTCATTATATGCCTACCTGCCCACTGTTACCTGTTATTAATAATCTATCAGACACTACAGACACCAGATGCACTCTCCCAGACTGACAACCTATTAATATTGTCAGTGTAACACCAGGAAGTGGTTTGAACCGGTGTAATGGTAAGGCTCGATCTCTGCCTCCATCCAGTCCCATCAGACAACTTTTCCCATTCCTTCCCACACCCTTACCTTTTGAGATAGTTTCTCCTGTAGAGGATCTGCTGCAGCAAGGTGACCATGGCAAAGGCACAGATGAATATGAAGAACAAAGTTCTGTTTCTCAGCAAATCCCTGCTTGACGAAGGGTCAGTGTATCCCATCCTTCTGAAAAGCCACTGAAGCTCCGCTGGGTAGAATTCAGTTCATTGTCCCCTTCACACCCTTTTTGCTGGGAAGCCAAGGGGAACGTTTGCTGGCTTTTCTCTGAGCAATCCAAGGACAAGATATCCCATTGTTCAGCCCTGCTGCCCCTTCCTTGCCCTTTTTGGATGTGAGCTCCAGGATTGCACACAATGGCTTGCTTCCACGGTAAAGTTTCCAAGATATTCAGATGCGGGGAACATCTAAAATCATCTCTCAGAGCTCTTCCAGCGCAGGCAGGGTGTGTTGTGCGAGAGACATTCTGTTCCCTCTAAGCCTCTCTTGAAAACCCGCTAGTCCCCCATTCCTACCATTAGCCTGTATGTCTAAACTGGGGTATTAAAGAAAGCTGAAAGGATTCAGCTAAGCTGTAAACATTTTTTTCCTCCAGAGCTAGGCAAAGGCCCAAGGGGATGACAAGGGCTATGCTGGCACCAGAGCCACCTGTGGAGGTGCCTGGATTGGAGGACACATCCTGAGGATAACATATGGTCTGTACACTGGATATCCATTACATCATCATCCAGTTTCCCTCCAACTATGGCTCTCATGGGTACTGGTGGAGAAATTACCTCCATGAATAAAATACCCCTTTTTTATACTGCTGACAATATCTCAGTTGGAAAAGGAATGAGGTCTTCCTCTTGCTAGTAGGAAGCTCTAACACCACAGCTATTGTTTTGCTTATATACCAAGGATTGCTAAAACGTGTAGCAAAGTGCAAAATTAATCAGAGCTCGATGCTAGGGGAAGCCTTGCTCTCCCAGTGGCGTTCCCAGATTTCTAGAAAATACAGGCAGTGTAACTTGATTTTTATGATCCTGCATATGCTCACAAGAACCCTGCAAATCACTCAGAATGATGGAAGTTCAGTTTCACTGTAGGGAAAAAAAGAAACAGAATTAAATTGCTTTTACATGAATCATCTGTTAAAAGCATCAGTTCAATTTCGGAGCACCACATGGGAGCACTGGATTTAGCATCAAATCAACAGGACTGAGGTGTTGCCAGAATCATACAGGGGCCCGGGGGGTTTCTATGGGTGACACTTAACTCTGTCCCAAGCAAGTCATAACTCCCACTTATTTCATCAAAACCGAACATAAAACTTTCCAGTGAAAGACTATAAAGTGCTGGAGTCAGTGACACTCATGTTACAAGTGTAATGGCAGTCGAAAGTTTTGAGATTACTTTTTCTAGAAAAAATATTCTAGCTGTTAAGCAATGAACAAATATTTCCTATGGTCAGAATAAGGATCACACATTATCTAATGGTGACAAACCCAATTTATATTTATTCCACTATTTTAAGAACACAATTTTACAGCAGGAATAAAAATGTTAATTTGAGATATTAAAAGAAAAAAAAAGACACACTAAAATATGGCATATAAAGTTAGATTTAATTAACAGAATTAAACGTGACAGAAAGAATACCACAGAATCATTGTGGGAATACCACAGAATCATCGTGGCTCTGATTTTGGCATATGTTTTGTCATCTTAGTAAATTGCACTCATCAGAACAGGGGTAAACAGGAAATAGTAAAGATTCTTCTGCATAATAAGCCATAAAGTGTGTACCTCTTGATGTAACCATCAACTTCAATCCCAAGAACTTCCAAATGGTCCAGGCATTGAGCTCTTATGACATTCTTCATGATGCCCTTCTACAGCACGGATTACATTACTAACCACACACTGCATGCAACAGGTGTCATCTTGGATAGTCTACCTGATTACCTGAGCTACTAGTCCAGGCAAAGCCAGGATGTTTTCAGACACAGCGTGATTTTTGCAATCAATCTTGAATCTTACGTACTTCAGTCCATGACATAAATTCAAATATATATATATGTACACATATATATGCCTTGCTTCTGTGGTCTTCAAAAATATTCACTTTTCCTGAAATCTATTTTATTTTGCTCTTCTGGCACTCTGGAAGTGCTCATTGGAAAGCTGGACAACCAGCTGTAAAGAAAGTAATCTCTATTCCTGAAGTACTGTGACTAGCCACATCCTTCTGTCCCTTTTGTGACAGTGTGGATCCAGCTTTTAAGCTCTGCACAGTGTCCGGTCTTACGTGCATGTGGTTACAGAGATGACTATTAATAAAACTGGCAACCCTTCCAAATTCCTTCATTTGGAGCTGTGATTTGTAATAAATTCCTATGTCATGCTTAGAGACCACTCCTGGAGCAGGACTGTGCTGGGTGCTGTAGCTGGGCATTAGCAGAGTCAGTCTTTGCCATGAGAGTTTATAATTTCCACTGTCAAGACAGTGAGGTAAGGGAGGGATTTATGAGCTCCTTTGGCAGAGAACAGGAACTGAGGTTTAGAAGTAATGGCTGATAGCACTGCTCTGCAGATCCAGACCCAGCACTCACACAGGCAGTGCTGACATTGGCAGGGAGATCGAAGGCCACGTAAAAAGGGACATAAGCATCTTCCTCTGAAATTCTGGGAGTTAAATGACAGCCGGTGGTTGGATCTTGGCTGCAGTGAATGGTCCAGTGCTACGATTCAGATTAGGCCTTTCAGGGAGATGGGACTATGGGTTATCCTTGCCTGAACACGGCATAGTCCTCAGGGAAACTGCAGCTACCCATGAGCCCTATAACACTGAAGTGAGTCCAAAACCATCCCCAGGCTGAAGGCAGTGATCCACACCTTCCTTCCCTGTTTGCACACCCAGAGGTGCCCTGAGCTCAGCTGACACACTTTTTTCAGTATCATGAGCTATGACTAATTAATGTCTGACCAGGCTTGCATCCCCCACAACATACTGCTGAGAAGAAACCCCATAACTGACCCCATTAACACATGCTATATTCCTCCTGCTTCCAGTGCTTTCTCCCCAGCTCTGGACAGTCAGTACAGACCCCTTACCATGGGCCAGAAAGTTGTGCACATTTATCAGCAGCCTTTGCTGGTGGTGCTGACCTTTTTCTAGACAGCCTGCAACAGGTTATTAATTTAAATAACCAAGATGACAGCAACTCGGTTGTGTTTTTTTTTTTATTAAAAACCTAAAAGAGAGAAGACAGAGCAGTAGTTTATCCACAATCCAGTATTAATCTCCAACACAAGGAGTTATGGCAGCATCTGGCCGATGGGATCAAGTGCTCTACAAGTAGGCATTAAAGAAATGCCTTTGACAGGGAGAGACAGCCCCCCAGGAGAGCTCTCATCTGGGGAGAAGGAAGCACGGCATGGCATTTAGCCAGAAGAGGGGCATTTTTGCTGAACATTCCCATCATCTTTATTTAAACTTTGCTTTCAGTCAGCTTTTTTGTTTTCTGTATCCAGCAGCTCCTCTGGAGCTAAGAGGTTTGTGGGTGTTTTTTTTTTTTCCTGCAGCGTGGGCAGGAAGGTATGTGGGAACTGTAATCCAGTCACTTTGAATCACATGAATCTGAAGCTTGAAAGGAAAAACAATAATAAGTGGCACAGATTGTCAGGCTCAGTGCAATTCTCAATCAATTAAAGCTTATTTTAGCATCAGGGCAGTTTAGTTTTTAAAAGTTCTCCTGGCACTTCGATACTTTCATGTTACTGCATAGCTAAAAAGGTCTTGCTGGGCACAAAGTACTCTTGGTGTGTATTTTCTGAGCTGTGTTTTTTGTTTCTTTTAAATGACAATAAATAAGATACGCATGAGCTAACAGCAGCAACAAAATAGCTAGCAGTAGTGAGTGACAAAGGGTTTGGACCTGGGTAAAAAATTAAGATAAAGCTAGGATTCAAGCATGGCAAAACACGTTTGTTTGGGCTGAGTCTACAAGCACATTCTTCAATGCATCTAAATTTAAATTATGATTCAGTATGTTGTGATATTAAGCAGATAAAAGTCACTGATGAAGGTATTCTACATCAGGTAGTTGCCTTTTTTTTCTTTTTTCTTTTTTTTTTTTTAAATAATTTTAGGCATTATATCTGTATTTTGGATCTTTGTTTTGTGGTGCTATATTGATTCCCACTTCACAGATGTGGATGACACAGGAACAGCCAAATCAGTATTCCTCTTTTGCAAATCTGTGCAGTATGTAAGAAGAACCAGCACATAAGATGTATGTGGAAAGGATCATGGGTTCAAAAGAAGACTAATTTATGAGGTTTTTTTGACTAATTTTTTTTTTCCGCTGTGGCAAAGACAAAGAGGTTATGAAGCATATATGTTATACAGCTGCGTAGTGTCATTAGAAACTGGCTGAACTTATGCTCTGAGGTTCAACAATGAAATTTAAAGAAAGGTAGAAAGAGTATATGACTATTATCCCTTATCCCTTTTAAATTTACCACTTTCTAGTTTCCCGCTGTCTGTGAGTTCCTGTTTCCTCTTGCTTCTCATCCTTCAAGCCTGGAGCCATCTCTACCATACACTGCTTTGGCAAGCATTTCTCCATTCCCTTTTCCCAACTGGAAAAAATGCACTGTACCAAATACAAAGCAATAAAGAACTAAGGCCTTGCAGAGCAGCAGGGAATTATGGCACAGCCTTCAACATCTCTTTAACAGCTCATGTTCAGGTGTTATCCCCTTGCCTCATATAGGTTTGGCTTGGAAATAAAGGAAGCTGTAGTTCAGATCTCTACACATAGCAGCTCTCTCCTTTCTGCAAAGGGCGTGCCCCTTTCCACAGTATTGCTCCTTCCAGTTGATGAAGCAGATGAATTTACTGGAACTGCAAAAATCAGTGCTTTCACAATAAACATTGTGCTGGAGTACACAAACTTAGTTTAGATGGTCACCAACTTGCCAAGAATACATACCTTGCTCTGGGCCACACACCCAGTAAATCCCTGCCAGCTCTGACTGGCCCTACGGAGAGCAGAGCTTGACTCTGAATGCTAAATACATGCTTAAATTCACCAGCTGCTGCCTGGAACCAGGACATCACCCTTCCCTAAAACATGCAGGAAAGCCATTAACTTCATTTCAAGTGTGTAGCCCTTCCTTGCCATCCCCACTCTCCCATCCTAGCACGTCTGTGCTCTGGAACTTGCATATTCCTCTTAAATTATCTTCCCAGCTGCTAGTGAAAAGTTACACACTCCAGTTCAATGAGATTCATCCAAGATGACTTCAAACATCAGCTCCAAGTGTTTCACACCCCATTTGTTTTAACAGATTTTAATATTAATAAGATGCAATTAAAAATCATCAACAATTCCCTAGTATGCTATTATTTGCAGAACTACCCAGTTCTTTCTTGATGTAAACCCCTACATTTCATCCCAGCAGGTGACAAGCCAAGCCATCCTTATCCTCATCCCAGGGGGGACAACAAGCCCTAGCAATCATTTGTTATTGAGGCGGAGGTTTGTGCTCATCTCCATGTTCCACCAGCCTTCCTTCATGACTTCAGGCAGAGCTGTGCTGCAGTGCTGAGATCTCCAAGCTGGCCTGGGAAGGCAAAACAACACTTCTATGAAACATGGCTGCTTTCAGCACTCGAACATCCATCTCTGCGTGGCACAGTGGGGTCATCTAGCACCTATTCCCCTCACCTTACGCTCCATATGTCATGCAGAGGAACATCTTTGCCCTCCTCAGCATCTCTTCCCACATTTGTGAGCTGGCAATCATAGAATTTCTTAGCCTTGCAGGGTTATTGCAAGAGTATGTGGTGGTTTTATCTTGCTAGGCAGCTGAACTCCACCACAACTGCTCTCTCACTCCCCCTCCTCAGAAGAAGAGGGGAAGAAGTAAAGGAAAAAAACAACTCATGGGTTGAGATGAGGATAATTTAATTAAAGGAAAAAATGATTAAGGAAAAAATATTATTAATTAAATAATGTAACTAACGGGAAAAAAGGGAAAGGGGAAAGGGGGAAAAAAACAACAAGCAAAGGCTTGTAATTACTAAAAAAGTAATTTATTTCGTCTGCACTTCCCACCAATGAGTGATGCTTGACCACATCCTTGAAGCAGGGCCTCAACACATGTAGCCGTTGTTCGGGAGGACAGATGTTTTCACAATGAGAGCCCACCCCTCCCCTCTTCCTCCTTTTTCCACCTTTTATTGCTGAGTGTGACATCATATGGTATGGAATATCCCTTTGGTTGGTTTAGGTCAGCTGCCCTGGTGATGTTTCGCTTCTCACTTTTTGCCCACCCCCTAGGAGGGTTAGAGAGAGTCCCGATGCTGTGCCAGCACTGCTCAGCAGCAGACACAACAGTGCTGTTCTAGCTACAAGTGCAGAGCACAGCACTGTATGGACTGCTGCAGGGAAAGTTAACTCTATCATAGCCAGGCCCAGTACAGAGTAACAAGGACAAATGTATGATGCTTTCCACTTTTGCACAAGGCAAAAATACCTTTCTGCCTTTCAACACATGGCTCTGTAACTCTGAGGACTGCAAGAGCAGGATCCACCTGGCTAGGCACAGGATTCCGTTCCCTAGGTGCTGCCCTCCTGAACTGCTTTACATACCCCAAAATCACCTGGTTAAGACAGAAAAGTATCACATGGGGTCCCTGCTATAGTAGCAACCAGGAAATCCAGGTATTAATAGCATTAAACACAGGTGCACTCTGCACCCACTGTACATTTATGTGCCTACAGCCTACCTAAACCCCCCTTAGATGGGATTTAGTCAATACACTCAATGGAGTCAAGCAGGTCTTTTCATCCTAAAGTAAATTTCTAAGCTATGTCAAATGAACCACATCCTAAAAATACTTTTCTCTGTCCTAACTTTAAGGGGAGCTTGGGATGGCCAGCTCAGTCACAGGCATCTGCGTGAGTACCTGGATACCTGGGTGGATGCCTAGAGGTTGATGAGATGGCCAAGCATGAAGATAGTATGAAAACAAACTGCAGTTAAAGCTAAATAAATAAGATTAGGAAGTGAGCTATGAATATTTCCCATTTAATATTTAATTCACTGAAAGTGCTTACATTAATTCAAGTAAAACTGTCACAGGAGCTGATGTTTGATGCACCCAGCTGTCATTGAAAGGAGACAAAGCTACAGAATTTCACCAAGATTTCAAGTAAATGTTCTGGTCTTTTTTTCTCTCTCATAGCACCTGAAAATGACCATCAGCAAATTAATAAAACATACTTTCATGCAAATGAAACAACACGTGCCAGCTTTGCTGCTGGTGTTCAGTCCACATGACTAGTGCTCCCCTTTGCTAACCATCCTAAACACTTCCAGGGCTAACCCTCTTCTCACAGTCAAAAGGAAAACAAGGCAAATCTAGGAGCTGTGATATTCCTTTCCCTCACGTAACATCCAAAAATGGTCTGGGGTAAGGAGAGGAGGGGAATTCTATTACCAGATAGTACAGTAATGGAAAGAAAATCAGATGCTTTAAAATAGCATTTGTCCTAGAACTGAACAAATTTAAAAAGCAACAAAAATGAAGAAACATGAAACTATTCAAAGGAAATGCCTAGTTATACAGCACGTAGTCTCTACCACAACACAAGGTGTTTGCTGAGATTAAAAAACTCCGCTGATGGTCTGTGCAAAGGCCAGGAGCATCGTACAGCTTCACAGATCGCACACTAACACCCCTGTATCACTGTCTGAGCCGCCCCAAACTGCCTCAGCTAGGCTATTCTGTCATCATCCACTAGGAGGATGGGAGATTGGAACACCTCGCATGACCTGAAGCATGGATTATTCAACAAACCCTTATTTTCATGCCCTTCACTAAAATGCCTGACCTCCAGGTTCCCCCACAGGGATGGCAGGGACCAGCAACAGGAATATAAAATTAATCTGCCTTGGTTTTAGGTTATAGTTCAGTCTTTGGCTGTGAACTGAATACCACCCTGCTACAGGAATAACGAATGCAGCTCACTGGGGCTACAGCTCCTGGTTGTGCTGGGTCTGTCTTTATTTGCAATGAACACTTCAGAGACACTAATGCCTGTCCTAATGCCTACCAAAGAAATCTTCGCTTGCTGCACCATCTGAAGGTTAGCAGAGAAATCCTTGAACCACAAGCAGCTAATGACTGGAAAAATGCCAAAATACACTGAGTTGTGCCAGAGACATATTTGGCCTGGTATCTTCCATTTGTACAACCCCCATAAAGTTGAATCATCAGGAAAATTCTGCATTACTGCTTCATCAGAACCAGTACGTGCTTAAATCAATGGAGGCAATCTTGATTTTCAAGGAAGGAAGCAGAATCTGAATAACAGTATTAACAATTCAGACTAACTTTTTTGTTTCTGTTGTTTGCACAATGACATTTTAAACTGCCAAGTGGCTTCAAAGGCTGTGGATGTGGTCTACCTTGACTTCAGCAAGGCTTTTGACACTGTTTCCCACAACATTATCCTCAAGAAACTTGCTGCTCGTGGCTTGGACTGGCGCATGCTTCGTTGGGTTAAAAACTGTCTGGATAGCTGGGCCCAAAGAGTTGTGGTGAATGGAGTCAAATCCAGTTGGAGGCCGGTCACTAGTGGCGTTCCCCAGGACTCGGTACTGGGGCCAGTCCTCTTTAATATCTTCATCGATGATCTGGATGAGGGGATCGAGTGCACTCTCGGTAAGTTTGCAGATGATACCAAGTTAGGTGTGTGTGTTGATCTGTTCGAGGGTAGGAAGGCTTTGCAAGAGGATCTGGATAGGCTGGATAGGGTTGGTCTGTTCTCCCACGTGCCTGGTGACAGGACGAGGGGGAATGGGCTAAAGTTGCGCCAGGGGAGTTTTAGGTTGGATGTTAGGAAGAACTTCTTTACTGAAAGGGTTGTTAGACATTGGAACGGGCTGCCCAGGGAGGTGGTGGAGTCACCATCCCTGGAAGTCTTTAAAAGACGTTTAGATGTAGAGCTTAGGGATATGGTTTAGTGGAGGACTTGTTAGTGTTAGGTCAGAGGTTGGACTCGATGATCTTGAGGTCTCTTCCAACCTAGACAATTCTGTGATTCTGTGATTCAAGCTGCTCCCCTTACCACTGTTACAAGAGATCTTTAATGCAGAAACCAACCAAGGACTCATAAGCTCTTTTGAAGCCTTAGAGACAACAGAGCAGTGCTGGGAAGCATCCAGTATCATCTGATATGTAGAACTGTTATTTCAACCATTATTTTTTTTCCACAGGAGTTAGCGGGGCTGATAGATAGAGCTTTAAACTAGAGTCAAAGGGGGAAAGGGATAAAACCAGGCACACCAGTGATAAGCTAAGGGATGGCGCACTAGAATCAGAAGGACTGTGTGCTAGGGAGGTCCTTCGGTCTGCTCCACAAGGTGCTGGGCGCAGGGAGGCACACTGGAAGTGCTTCCACACAAACGCACACAGTATGAGGAATAAAATGGATGAGCTAGAAGTCTTGGCCCAGTCCCATAGCTACGACATCACCAGCATAAGCGAAACCTGGTGGGATGAGTCCTGTGGCTGGTGTGCTGCAATAGATGGTTACAGGCTCTTCAGGAGGGACAGGCAGGGTAGGCGAGGTGGGGTGGTGGCGATGTATGTGAAGCATGGGCTGGACTGCGTGGAACTTCAAGTTGGCGATGGCAAAGTTGAGAGCCTCTGGGTAAGGATTAAGGGACGAACAAATAAAGGGGATGTCGTTGTGGGAGTCTATTACAGACCACACGGCTGACAGGAGCAAGTCTAGGAGGTTCATAAAGCACCTAGATGATAGCACCTGCACCAAGAAGTTAAGGGAGCCAACTAGGAAAGGTGCCCTCCTTGATCTGTTGCTGGAGAATAGAGAGGGTCCTGAGGGGGATGTGGCAATTGGTGACCATGAAGTGGTTGACTTTAAAATTTATGGCGACAGCAGGAAAACTGCCACCAAAACTTCAGCCCTGGATATGGGGAGAGCAGAATTCAGGCTGCTCAGGGAACTAGTCAGCAAGGTCCCCTGGGAAGCTGCTTTTGAAGGCATTGGTGTCCATCAGTGCTGGTCAGTCTTTAAGCACTGCCTCCTAAAAGCACAGGATCAGGCAATTCCAAAATATCAGAAGTCAAGCAGGTGGGGCAGAAGGCCAGCCTGGCTGACCAGGGATCTTCTACTGGAGCTTAGACAGAAAAAGAAAGTGTACGGCTGCTGGAAGAAGGGTCAGGCGATTAGGAAGGAATACAGGGATGCTGTTCATGTTTGTAGGAAGAAAATTCATGTGGCCAAAGCCCAACTAGAGCTGAAGCTGGCCATGTCTGTGGGAGACAATAAAAAAGTTTTTTTTTTTTAGATATGTTAACAGAAAAAGGAGAACCAAAGAAAACATAGGGCCTCTACTTGATGAGGAAGGTCAC